TTCTTTCCTTTTTTTTGAGATAGAGTCTCACTCTGTCACCCAGGGCTGGCTCGAAGGAACTCTCATCCACTTCCTCTGCACCTGCCTACACAGGAGGGCTTGGATCATGCTGTTAGGCGACTCTTTCCTAGACAGTGGACACCACCACAACTTCCTCCCTCCTGTACCCCACGTCCCTCTGCCTTTCTGGCTCACAGCTCTGAACAGACCAGCTCACCCATCCTGGATTCTGGAGCGCAAGAAGGGAAGTGGGGACCTGACACTTCATCCAGGACAGTCACTTGAAGAGCAGGGGCTAAAGCCTAAGACTTGGGCTGGTGGTTCCTGAACCCAACACTCATCAGCACCATTTAGGGGAGCAAAAACCAGACCCAGCTAGAACCCCAACCTCAGAAGATTCTGACTCCTTCTGTCCACAGGCAAGTGTGTGAGCAGCTTTGCTGAAGACACAATTTCCATTTCCCCTGGGGCCTGTCAGGAGCCTCTGCCATCCTGGCTGGGTCTGGGATTTTTCCAGCCCCCCCTGGGACGCCGGACCTATCCCACCTGCAGCAACTGCTTCTCCTCACAGGGAGGTCTCTCTACTTGACTTCTCCCAGCAGCAAGATACAGAGAGCTGAGCACTCCATCCCACCTGGCACAGCATGGAGGGCACCTGATATTACTGGGCAAAGCCTGGACTCTAAGACTAGGCCCCAGTGAGTCATGCACACCCTCTCCCAGCTATATCCTGCGCAGACAACTGCGTCTGTCAGGGAGAAAGAGGCCAGACTGGGTTGTAGGGCGTCATCAGCACCATTGCCCCTCCTCTGACTTCCTTCCTCTTGGGATCCCACAAACAAACCCCCCTCATGGGAGCCCAGAACTCCAGGGGCCAGGCTGGGTGCCGTTTACTTAGCGTGAGTCATGAAGTCCCTCTGTGTGGTGGTCGGATTATTTCCCACTTAGTGAGGTCAGGGGCCAGGTTTCCCACTCATCTTTCCCACTGATGGCACTAACCAGGGGCTGGAGTTGGATCCCACCTCCTTCACTGCCTCCTTACAACAAAAATGGCAAATAAGAATGATAATAGCAGTGAACACTGACCAGTCCTTTGAGAGAGGCCTATCACTGAATCGCTATGGCTCTGTGGTCCCATTCCAATTTACAGGTTGGAAACACGTTTGGGTGGGTGGGTCACATGACCTGCCTAGGTCACATGGAACATGGTGGGGCCTGGGGGGTCAACAAAGACTCTCTCCTTGACCAAACTCCAGCCACCAGGCTCCTCTGACTCTTTTATTTTTTCTCTTTCTTTCTTTCCTTTTTTTTTTTTGAGTTGGAGTCTCACTCTGTCACCCAGACTGGAGTGCAATGGCATGCTCACAACCACCGCAGCCTCGACCTACTGGGCTCAGGTGGTCCTTCTACCTCAGCCTTCCAAGTAGCTGGAACCACAGGCACACACCACCATGCCTGGTTAATTTTTTCATTTATTGTAGAGGTGAGGTCTTGCCAAGTTGCCCAGGCTGGTCTTGAATCCCCGCACTCAGGCAATCCTCTTGCCTCTGCCTCCCAAAATCCCTTTGGCAGCAAAGGGATTTCAAAGAGGGCTTCTTATGATCAAAGAGGCAGTATTTGTTCTTTTCTCTCTGAGATCACCCCCCACCCCACGCCCGGCCTTCTTTCTTTCTTTGAGACAGGGTCTCACTCTGTCACCAAGGCTGGAGTACAGTGACATTGCTCACCACAACCTTGAACTCCTGGGCTCAAGTGATACTCCTGATTCAGTCTCCTGAGGAGCTGGGACTACAGGTATGCCACTATAACCAGCTAATTTTTTTTTTTTTGGTAGAGACAAAGTCTTACTTTGTTAGCCAGGTTGGTCTTAAATTTCTGGCTTCAAGCGATCCACCCTTTTCAGCCTTCCAAAATGCTGGGATTACAGGAATAAATAACAGTACCCAGCTTTTTTTTCAGCCCCCTCCTTGGGAATGTCTTCAAGAGGCCAATTTTAGCAAGAATCCTGCTAAGTCAGTTTAGCTAGAACCCCCTACACTTGATATCTGGTCAAATTCCTCACCTACTGATGCCCCCTGGTGATGTCTGGTCACCGTGGCCTACCTTCAGCCAGAATCCTGTTAAGTCAGTTGAGGCAGAATCCCCTGCCCCTGATGTCTCCTCACAGTCATTTGCCATCTACTGCCCTCACCCTGCTCCTTGGCTACCAATCCCCATTCACCCCTGCTGTATTCAGGATCAAGCCTGGTTCTTTTTTTTTTTTTTTTTGAGTCTCACTGTGTTGCCTAGGCTGGAGTGCAGAGGCATACTCACAGTCATCCCAGAGTCCACCTGCTGGGCTCTGGAAATCCTTCTGCCTCAGCCTTCCAAGTAGCCGGAACTACAGGAACATGCTACTACCACGCCCAGCTAATTTATGATTTATTGTAGAGACAAGGTCTCACCAAGTTGCCCAGGCTGGTCTCAAGCCCGCAGGCTCAGGTACTCCACCCACCTCAGTCTCCCAAAGTGCTGGGATTACAGGCTGAACTACCGAGCCCGGCCTCAAGCCTGGTTCTATACTGAGGTCTCTTTCCCTACTGCAATAATTCCTGAATAAAGTCTGTTTTCACCCTTTAAATGCTGTCCAGCTTGGGTCTTTCTTTGATACTTAACTCTCCCCTGGAATGGAGCAGGGTGCTCAGCAGGTACCCCCTGCTGTCTGAAAGGACAGGTGTTGCATATCAAAACTTTGCTCACAACCAGCAGCATGGCAAGGGGATTTTTTTGTTTCTTTTTGGTCGGAGTCTCACTCTGTCACCCAGGCTGGAGTGCACTCAGGGCCACTGCAGCCTCGACCTACTGGGCTCAGGGATCCTTCTGCCTCTGCCTTCCAAGTAGATGGAATTGCAGGTGCACACCATTACACCCGGCTATATTTTTTGATTTATTGTAGAGATGAAATCCCTCCAAGTTGCCCAGGTTGGTCTCAGACCCCTGGACTCAGGCAATCCTCTTGCCTTGGCCTCCCAAAGTGCTGGGATTACAGGCATGAGCCATCGCAAAGGGATTTCAAAGAGGGCTTGATATGATCGAAGAGGAAGTGACGTATTTGTTCTTTTCTCTTTTCTACTGAGACCCTCCCCACCAGTTACCCAGCAACAGTACTCAGAGGCCCTGGTTCAAATCCAGCCACTCCTAGGACTTCCATGGTTGAAGATTCAGATGATATAAATTAAAGGCTGATTTAGAATGTGAACCTCCCTTTCACCTGGTCTGATGGGAGGAAAACCTCACTGTTGGCTGGGCTGGGCAGGGCAGTGAGGCTATGTAAGACAAGGAATACTCTAGGCTAGGGGCAGTCACACAACACAGAGAGAGGAGAAGGGAAGGGAGAGCACAGGGAGCATGGCTCTGGACTCTGCTCCTTCTACCACCCTGGGTGCCTAGGGACCTTGAGCAGGTTAGGGAAACATTTACTCAAGGGTCAAATGAACTTTTTCAAAGACCTGTTGCAAGGACCAAGTGAGAAAGCACATGCATAAGAGGGCCGCAACCATGACCATCACCCGAATTCTGTCTACCACTTGACAGGCACTGGAACACTTTGGTTCTCAAAGGAGATTGGCCCAGGACGGCCTATCAAGAACAGAGCAAACCATTTGCTCATCTGTACCATGACATCTACCCAAAGGCTGAGAGGGTGAACAAGATCTACACGGTGGGGTAGGGTCTTGAACCCCTGGGCTCAAGAGATCTTCCTACCTTGGTCTTTTGAGTATCTGAGACCTCAAGTGCATGCCTGAGGATAATTTTTGCTTTTAGACTAGGTCTCAAGGTACAGGGAGTCCCGCAGGCCCCTGTCACTGAGTTCCCTCATAAGATTCCAAGGGGGAAAAACAGGCAGCAGTGTGCATCTTCCAAGAACCTGGCCAGCCAGAGCTGGGAAGGGGTTGGGGGTCGGGGTGGAGCCAGTACTTAGCAAGGACTTGTTGATGTGAATGAGAATGTGGGCCTTCATCAGCCAAGACTACAAATTGCTCTGGGAAGAATCACCCTCTCCCTTCATCCTTCCTGGCACTCAATATTTAACCACATGAGGATTTTTACTTCCTGCCCTTAGGGAAGGAGTTGAGGCTTCTTGGTGAATGCTGTGCTCACAGGGCACCTGGAATGCCAAATTCACTCTCTCTTGAGGTTTCCTGCTAAGGTAGAAGGTCCTGGGAGTGGGGAGCAGCACCCAAGACCCACCCACCTCCTGGGTGGGGGAGGAACCGGCTTAGCTGGATCTGATAAAATGCACTGTAAGGAATGCGGTCCCAGGGCTTCCTTCCAGCCACCCCCACGGAAGGAACTGTGTAGGTAGGACCACAAGAAACACAAGGCAGGGGAGCCAGCTTCTTCCAAGAAGTGTGAAACAATGGTGGTGGGCTCCCAGGGGCTAGATACACTTCTGAACGGAAGACCCAGGCACTTCTTGAGAACCACGGCACCTCTCCTGGTCCTGTATGGATATATGCTTCAGCATGCCAGGGGCTTCTACACCAATCCTGGGAGAGGAGCTGGGTATATCCTGAACAGGGATACAGCTGTACACCCTAGAAAATGGGTCTAGACCCCAGAAAGGGGATAGCAAGTCGGTAGACTCTGGGATCCCCTGTGCTTTTCCAAGAAGGGGTGGCCCAGGAACTGCCAATTTTAGACCATGGCACCCCTAACTATTCTACCTGTGGGTTTTCCTAAGGCCATGCAGGAACTGAGGCCCCAGATGCAGAATCAGACTTAAAACTTAAATTTCTTTGGGGATAAGATTGAACACAATAGACAGACAGACAGACAGACAGACAGAGGGCAGTCCATCTGAACCTGTGAAGACACCAGCCCAGGTCTCTCACAGTAGATTTTCAGTGTTGCGGTTGCCCACCCCACCCCGAGCACTAGGCCATCTCAATGTCCCCAAGTGCCAAACAGGAAAGTACAGGAAGCATCCAAAAGGGGGTGGGAGGGGCCAGCAGACTCACCTGAACCTGACCCTTCCCCATGAGCCTGTCTGTGCTCTCGCCATCTTCCTTAGGGATCTTTATTTTGTTGTAACACTTTTCATAGCAAAGTATCCTCAGGGTCTGGGAGCCTTCAAGCTCAATCTCAAACTCCTGCACCAGAGAGAGAAGGAAAGTCACATGTGAACAAACAGGTCCAAGTATATGTGGTGGTCAGAAGCGTGTCCCCAACACTGTTCTTGTTTCCTTGGGTGAACCCAATGCCTGAGTCTCTCCTCATTTAGGCCTGGGACCCTCAAGGGTATTCTCTGTGGCTATTACTGCCAATCTCATGTGGCTCTGGATGCGTCCATGCCTCTCAAACCTAATCAAAACCTCTCAAAGGATGGTCTCCATGCCACCCACACAGAATCTTGAGGGTTTCTGCTCAAAATGCAGACATTCGACAGACTCTGGTTGGTAATGGTATGTCAATATGGGTTCATCTTTACGGCAGTGAAACTACTCTGTAAGATATCAAATGGTAAATAATTTGTCAAAACCCTTACAATGTGTAATACCAAGAATGAACCCTAATGGTTCTATGAACTCCGGGTGATAATGGTGTGCCAATGCATGTTAATTGTAACGAATGGGGAGTGTAATGAATGGGGATGCCAGTAGTGGGGCATGGGGGGGCAGGGCATACCTGGGAACTCTCTGTCCTTTCTGTTCAATTTTGCTGTGAACCCAAACTGCTCTAAAAAAATTAATTCTATGTAAAAAGGAAAAAAAAATGATCCTTAGAGTTGATATAGGAAGGAGAGGGACTTGGAGGAAAGAATGTTCCCCTCGGCACTCAAGTGGTCTGCCGTGGCCCTCTGTGCCAACCTTCTCTTCCATCATCCCTGATACCATCAGTGAGTTCACGTTCACTCACGGGTTCTTGGTGGGGAAATGGAAGAGGGCGAGGGGGAAAACATGCAGCAGCTATTTCTGAACCTGAATGGGGGTGGGCCACGTATGTGCTAGGAACAAGTCAATCCCTGGATGATCGACATGCACAGTGAGGGTGATGCCAGGTGACCCACTGCACTCATACTCTTCATGCCTTCCTGGAGCTTCCACTCGCCTGGCACCTGAACCTTTCACCAACTGCCTAGTACCCATCCCTCACTCCCTCACTGTCTATGCTGGGTCACAGTCCTCCTGCTCTCTGCAAAGCCTTCTTCTATCTGCAAAGCCTTCTTCGATAGACCCCCATGTGGCTCTGATTCCCCCTCGTCATAGCTGCCATTCAGTCCTTCCTGCAGGGATGTTCAAGTAAATTTAACAGGGTCTTGTGCCTTTGTCTTCCTCAGGCAGAAAGTCTAATGACCAGAGAGCAGTGGATGCTGAGAAAGGAGACCTGGGTTCTCGTCCCATTGCTTGCTCTACCAACTTCATGACCTGACATGGACCAAGCAGCCCAGTGGTTTGTTTCCTCCTCTGCAGCAGAGGGGGTGGGAGGCAGCTCTCTGTAGCTGGCTGTCTCCATTCATACCCACACCATCAATAACGAGGCATGGTGGTTCACATCTGTAATCCCAGCACTTTGGGAGAACAAGGCGGGCGGATTGCTTGGGCTCATGAGTTTGAGACCAGCCTGGGCAACATAGCAAAACCTCCTCTCTACAAAAAAATTAGTTAGGCATGCTAGCACGTGCCTGTAGTCCCAGCTACCTGGGATGCTGAGGTGGAAGAATTGCCTGAGCCCAAGAGGTTGAGGCTGTTGTAAGCCATGACTGTTGTGATCATGCCACAGCCTGGGCAACAGAGTGAGACCCTGACACACACAAAAAAAGAAAGGGGAGGCTGGGCATGGTGTCTCAAGCCTGTAATCCTAGTACTTTGGGAGGCCGAGATAAGGGGACTGCCTGATCCCACGGGTTCGAGAACAGCCTGGGCAACTTGGTGAGACCTCATCTCCACAATAAACCAAAATATTAGCCAGGTATAGTAGTGTATGCCTGTAGTTCTGGCTACTTGGAAGGCTGAGGTAGAAGGATTGCCTGAGTCCAGCGGGTTGACGCTGGGGTGGCTGTGAGTGTGCCACTGCATGGTGATGGAGTGAGACTCCAATTCAAAAAAAAAAGAATGGGGCACTCAATGGCCACAGCTGCACAAGCTGGGGAAATTAATCTCTTGTGGATCTAAGAACTTAATCAATACTAACCTCTCCGTAATCATTCTTCCATTCCTGAAGGTTCAGGGACAAATGGTTGCATGACCTACACAGTAATTCTCCAAGGTGGGGGGAAGCATAGTGACCCACTATACAAACCCAATATCCACGACAAACAAGCAGGACCCTTCAGACCAGTGAGGTAAAGGGAGCTAGACCTGCAGTCCAGTCCCAGCTCCCACAGGCAGAGTCCTAAGCTTCCAGAAACCAAGAGGGTCATAGCGAGCTTATTCCAACTTTGGTGGAAAAACACTATGGAAACCTACCAAGTAAACACCAAGTCATAACAAAGAACAAAAGCCCTTTTAAGTCACTTTATAAAGACTTCCCCAGAAAACAAGCTGCTTCTTTGTGATGGGGGGGTGAGTGGGTAAGACTCTTAGGAACATGGAGATAAAAATCTCTTGGCCCTGTCACCCAGGCCCTCCAGGAGATTCCTGGAATGCTGGCAGCAACGTCTTTGGGGGAAGCCCTCGGGAAGCCTCCAAGGGTTTAGACTCTCTCTGTGGAAAACATCCTGTGCCCAGACCAGCCTTGAGGAAGTCGGCTCCTCACCTCATTCCAGTTGGGTTCAGTTGTGTCCCTGTAGACGCGCGTCTTTGCTTTATTCACAAAATACCCAAAGGAATCCACCTCCAGGGTGCAGTACAGATCTGCAGGAAGGGGGACATGGAGAAGGTAACTGCATTTTTCCACATCACCCACGTGGTCTATAAGAGCAGGTGTTATTTTCAAAATAAATGCTCTTAATTTTTTTTTTAAAACACTGGCCAAGTGTGGAGGCTTATGTCTGTAATTCTAGCACTTTGGGAGGCCGAAGCAGGAGGATTGCTTGAGCCCAGTAGTTTGAGACTAGCCAAGGCAACATAGCAAGGCCTCACCTCTATAAAGAATCAAAACATTCAGCCAGGTGTGGGGGCGCATACCTGCAGTCCCAGCCACTCAGGAGGCTGAGGCAGAAGGAACACCTGTGCCTAGGAGGTCGAGATGCAGAGAGCCATGATCATGCCACTGCACTCCAGCCCGGGCGACAGAGTGAGACTACAACTAAAAAAAAAAAAAAATCAAAACAAACAAAAAACAACCACCACCAAACCAGTAGCCAGCATGAACAGCAGAACCTCAAGCAATGCCCCCACCCTATCCTATGGTTTCTGTGCATCTGGGAAACGGGACCTCTCATAACACTTGCTCTCTTGGTCATTCAGTAAACCCTAGCTAAAGCCCCTGGGGGTGAGGAGGGCCCTGTACTGGTTGGGACGGACAGAGAGGTGAAGAATGTGCTATTGCTACACAGGGAGATGAGTGCTGTACAGTGAGGCCATAGCAGAGGCCAGCTGTCCTGGGGGTATAAAGGGAAGGGGTTAGGGGAAGTTCTTATGACCTGAGCAGAACCTGCTATGAGTATTTTTTGGCAAAAGGTTTGGGCATAGAGGGCTCCAGGCCAGTGTGGGGCACAGGGAGCAGGTCATGGGGTGCAGGGGAAGAGGAAAGAGGTAAGGCCTGAGGGAGAGTGGGGCTGGGCTATAAGCAATAGGGTGGGGTTTATGTTTTATAAAAACCACTTGAGCCGGGCACAGTGGCTCACGCCTATAATCCTAAGCACTTTGGGAGGCTGAGGTGAGAGGACTGTCTGAGCTCATGAGTTTGAGACCAGCCTGGGCAACCTGGTGAGACCTCATCGCTACAATAAATCAAAAAATTAGCCGGGCATGGCGGCATGTTTCTGTAGTTCCAGCTACTTGGAAGGCTGAGGCGGAAGGATCATCTGAACCCAGCAGGTTGAGGCTGCAGTGGCCGTGAGCGTGCCACTGCACTCCAGTCTGGGTGACAGAGTGAGACTCCAACACAAAAAAAAAAAAGAAAAAGAAAAACCACTTGAGGGATGATGGGGATGTCTGGGGTTGGGAACCAGGCATGAGGCCATTACCCAGGGCCTGGATGAGGGTAGCCAGAGATGGTGTCTAACTGAGAGGGGAAATGAACAGGATGGTGGTCTCTGGCTTGGCCATGGGAGTAGATGGTGATATCCCTCATGGGGCAGGACCTAAGGGGAACAAGTTTGGGGGCTACAGATGATAGGTCTGGTTTGGGGATGTAAGGTTAAGAGTGTGGAACATTGGGGTGATAGATGGAAAGGTGACAGGAAAGACCAGGAGACTAAGAAGCAGTTCCAGGCATCACCTGCACTGCTGATGGAATGGGACTGGGGAGGAGGGGCTGCAAGGGAGGAAAGGCTGGGCAGGACCCTGGGAAGTCAGACAGAGGGGCCCAGGGGAATAATTAAGCGTGCTAGTGTTTAAATTTACTAAAAACCCTCCAGCTGTATACTAGCAGTGACTGAATTGTATAACATGCAGATTATGCCTGCTGGGTTCAGGTGATCCTTCCGCCTCAGCCTTCCAAGCTGTGCTACAGCTTTATGGGGGTATAATCTGCATGTTATACAATTCAGTCACTGCTAGTATACAGCTGGAGGGTTTTTAGTAAATTTAAACACTAGCACAAACAGCACCACAATGGTTTCAGGATACTGCCCTCATCAAAAAATCCCATGGGGTTCATTTGCAATCAATCCTCACTCTACTCCCAGCCCCCAACAATCACAGATAGGTGTTGTCTCCATATTTTTCCTTTTCTAGAAACTTCAACCAGCTTTCACTGTTCTGACAGCTTGAGCAGCTGGGAGAGACCCCTCCTCCTGCAGGGGAAGGAGGAAAAGGGTATTATCCATCCAGCTTGGTGGAGTAGCCAAATCTATTCCTGGCTTATAACAGGCTCACTTCTCTGGCACTGCCTGTCAAACTCAGGCTCCTGCAATTACATGACCCGCTTGCAGGGGGCAGTTTACCAGCACGCAGGTTCTGAGACAGGTATGGGAAAGGTAGAGTCCAATCAGGGCAAAGTTCTACACCCAGAGGGCATCAACCAGCACAAGCACCCCATAATGGTCGGGGTCAAAAGGCATTTAGTGGTCATTTGAACAACTTTCCTGGTTTACCACACCTTGTCCGATTAGTCTTTCCTGGGTGGAAACTCTTCCCCACCTGCTTCCCCAAACCAGTCACTTACTCGAACTTTGCTTAAATCCAGTGGCTGAGTGGACGATGACATTCAGGAACCCGTAGAGCCCAGGAGATTCATCATCTGTGCAAGAGACCAAAGAGGTGAGCTTCTGCCCTACTGGGAAAGAGAGGCAGGTCACATCCTGGCTCCACTTTTTCAAAACAACGATCACGTGGCTACCATGTAGCTGCCATTGTGGTTTCTGGGGATCTTAGGATCTAGTTGGGTTCACAACACAGGCAAACCAGTTGCCAAGCCAAAGTGTATTAAGGTTCCAAGAACAGGAGAGGGGGTGGGGTGGCATGGGATGTGGAAAGAGTATGTGTGCATATGTGCACACAATCATGTACCTGTGAGCGAGACCGAGCATATGTGCATGTGTGAAACAGTGACTATAAAACTCAGCTTGACCAAAAGTGTGGGCTAGCAAGTAGTCAGATGATAGCAGGGCTGGGAGGCAGGATTGGGGTTGGGTCCACAGCTCAGAGTGTCTGAGGAGTATCTGCAGCAGGCCTCATGACTAGGGACAGAAGCCATGCATTTCCTCAACCAGCCAGCAGTAGCTCCCTGGGGAGAAATTGCTCCTAACCTGCCCCATCCTCTCCAGGGAGAGGACAACAGGCCCTTGTAACAAGCACATGTCTTCCTTCTGAACGAAAGTCCACCAGTCACACAAGAAGGGAGGCCGGCCCTCAGGCTAGCTGGCTGCTCCCCTTTCCAGCAGCTCTGCGCACAGGACAGCAGCCTCACCTTCCTTGTTGATGGTCAGTGGAATGTTGTGGACGGTCTGAAGTTTGACACATGAGTTGGTCAGCATCTGTAGTTCCACAGATGTCAGGGAGAAGCTTTTGAAACCTGAGAGGGTGAAAGAGAGGTGCATCCACTGGTCAGTCTGTGCTGCTCCTCAACCTCCAGCCCCTCCCATTGGTCTTCCACTTGACTCTGGGGAGGGAGGATGGCAGGGGCTGGCACTTGGTGGCTCAGGACATGGCGCTCAGCTTTCAGGTGCAGTGTTGGTCCAGTAGTAGAGCGAGGAATGGTCCAGGAGAGCCCAGGCCTGGAGGAGTCTTAGCAAGGTGTGTACAAACACATAGGCCACACGCTTCCAAACTACACCCTCAAGACAGGCCTGAGAACAAGAGGCTAGCCTTGAGCATATCCTTACTAGGCCTCCCCAGATAGACACCAGCATGGCTCTGCCCCAGCACTGCTAATGCAGATCCTATTTTTCCAGTGGGTGAGGAAAATGGGCTTATTTCTGGGCACAACTATGAGAAGAGACAATGCCTCTCTGGAGCTGTTTTGGGTCCTCATGTTATGACAGTGAGGGAATGAATGCACAGGGGATGAGGGGTCTAGTGGGACAGTTTCTGTCCAACTTTTTATGTGTTTTTTTTTAAGAGATGGAGTCTTGGTATGCTGCCCAAGCTGGTCTTCAACTTCTTGCCTCAAATAATCCTCCTGCTTTGGCCTCCCAAAGTGTTGGGTGAGCCACCATACCCAGCTCAACTTATTTTCTAAATTAGGGCTCCATGTAACATGTTGCTTGGATAAAATCCCTTCAAAAATAAGGATTTTTTGTTTTGTTTTGTTTTGAGTTGGAGTCTCACTCTATCACCTAGACTGGAGTGCAGTGGCCGCTACCGACCACTGCAGCCTCGACCTGCTGGGCTCCGGCGATCCTTCCGCCTCAGCCTTCCAAGTAGCTGTAACTACAGGTGCACGCTACCACACCTGGCTCATTTTGATTTATTGCAGAGATAAGGTCTCACCAAGTTGCCCAGGCGGGTCTCGAACCTGCGGGCTCAGGCAATCCACCCACCTCAGCCTCCCAAAGGCGCGGAATTACAGGCTGAGCCACCGAGCCCGGCTAGGGTTTTTTTGTTTTTGTTTTTAGTTGGAGTCTCACTCTGTTGTCCAGGCTAGAGTGCAATGACATGCTCATGGACACTGCAGCCCCGAGCTGCTGGGTTCAGGCAATCTTTCCACCTCAGCCTTCCAAGTAGCTGGAACTACAGGCATGCACCACCATGCCCAGCTAATTTTCTGATTAATTGTAGAGATGAGGTCTTGTCAAGTTGTCTAGGCTGGTCTCGAACCTGTGAGCTCAAGTAATCCTCTCACCTTGGCCTCCCAAAGTGCTTGGATTATAGGCATGAGCCACTGCATCCGGCCTAAAAATAAGGTTTAAAGTCACAGGAGGCAATGCCTTTCTGGCACTGCTGTTCCAAAGCCTGGTCCTGGGGCAGAGACCACTCACACTTCTTCTGCTGCTCCCGGATGTTCTCCCTCCACTCAGCGCGCTCGTAGTCAGAGGAGATGAGGAATGTGTAACTCTAGGGAGGGTGAGAAGAACACACCCCAGTTATCTCTGTCCCCAACTAAATGAGTGCCTGGCAGACCCAGGGTACCGTGGCGCACAAGACTCCAGTTGGTTGAAGCCCAGTGACCAGGTGGGCACTGCTACTTGTACCCTTTGCCCTTCCTGCCAGCTGGGTATCGGGCCACAGAACCTGAGCACTATGCAGTCCTGCCTCTGGCATAAGCTCCTTCCTGAACTACCTGGTTCAGGATGCAACACTGGCAAGAGCAAGTATAGCTTAGGGACACAGAGGCTACCAGGTGGGGTCTGCTGAGGTGAGGGCAGATGCTGACCTGACTTCTTGCATTCAACCCACAAACCCCATGCTGACCCAGAGATGAGGCTTCTGCAGAGCCCATGGCTGCCTCTCCCAGCCAGCTGCAAGAATAAACTATTCTGCACGCTGACAGATGTGTGTCATGCCTGGGGAGGGAAAGTATCAGGCTACAGCTGGCACTAGGAGCCAGACTCAGGAGAGAAAATACGTCTCTGGCCCTGAGGTCCCCAGAGTATCCCTGTACTAAGGGCCAGGTTTGCATGAACCTCTGAGGCTATTCCCTCCTTGGAGACTCCACTCCCTCCCAGCTGTGGTAGCTGAGCCAGCTGCTATTCAAACTGGGAGCAAGGGTCCAGATGCCCAGAGGGACAAGTGTGGCTACCTGTGCCATGCTGACAAGCCTCTCTACACGTGAGAATGCTTTCAAGAGAAAAAGGGCTGCGGCTGGGTGGTCAGGAGTCCAGAGCAGGCCAGGAACATGTGCCTGGGAGAGCAGGGGGTTGCGGTGGGCACTTACTCACCTTGCCATTGCGGCTGTGCACCCGGAAGGCCATGCTGGGAGACATAAGCAGCAGCAGCGACTCCTGCTCTGACAGCTTCTTCTTCAGCCTCTCCGCGGCCTTGCTGCCCTTGTTCGCCCTCTGCGGGGAGAGGCCACAGCCTCACCTTTCCATTCTGGGACCTGGTGCAACCTGCTCCCAGTTAGTCCATCCCCACCACCCCCTATACTCAGCCTGTGGACAGCGGGAATCCTGTCTGCCCTCTCAGCACAGCCCAGGGCCTGAGAGCTACTGCTGGTGGCATTTCAAGGACAGAAGCAGCCTTTCCACAAGGTCAGGGTCCAGCACAAGCTGTGGCACATGCTCAGGAAGCCTTTCTCAAAGGAATCAAGTACCTTCTCTCACAAGGGCAGAGAGGAGAGATCTTTACAAACGTCCTTGCCTCCAACTTTTCCAAATGAGGACAATGGCCAGGGGACCACTGTTACCTAGAGGGTTCTTCACTCCCTCCTGATCCAACCAGATTTCAGCACCAGGCCCCCTAGGAGTGTCTGTGGGGGTGAAAGCCAGACAAACATCACCAGAACCTGGACAGGAAAATTCTCTGTGCTGAGCTGTTTGGGTCCCTCCTGAAGCTACTACCCCTGGGGAAGAGAGAACTGTGCTGCCTGTCACCAGTAGGGCCCCATTACCAGCTCACAGATGAGGGGCTCAATGTGGAGAATGCAGCAGTGGCACTAAACAGATCCAACTGCCCCTGAGGACATAGCACTGGCTCCCTCTCTGCTTGGGGACACCCTACCATGGGGGCCACAGTCTTGCCTGGATGAACAAACAACCTAATGTTCATCTCAGTCTTGGGGCTCCCTGCATGCTCATAAGTGAAATAGGTTTGGGTACAGCAGGCTGGACAGGTGGGTGAGGGCTAAGGAGGACCCTTGTCTTGCTTTGTTCACCCCAATTGGCATCCCTGGACTAAGGAACCTCCGAGGGAGCCACTTCCACTGTGGCCACTGCATGGCATATCCTCCAGGCTGGGCTAACTATACTTCAGGGACTCATCCTCACTATTTCTACAATTTTCTAAACTTCTCCGGAAAAAAGCAAGGGCCTGCAGTCTAGAACACCTGGAGCGGGGGCACCCCCATCCAGGACTGTTCTCCTCTATTGGGGCAGTTGTAAGGGGAAAGGCTAGACACCTCCCTCAGCCCCACGTCTTAGACCTCTTCAAGTCCTCCACAGTCTCACTGCGACTTTCCTTCTAGTAACTCGGTATTTCATAGGTGGAACTGAGTGACACAGCAAAGATTGCTGCCTGGACATTAGAAGTAAAACACCACACACAACCTCCCATAGCCAGTGGCTAGAGGTAAGAACTTGGAAGCATCTCTCCAGTCTAAAAGACTGGGCTCCCTGATTTCCCATCGCTTCCTATAAAGGCATTTGCTTGAAATTTCCCATCGCTTCATATAAAGGCATTTGCTTGAAATTTCATGTGACCACACACTATTCTCTATACATACTGTTAGTGCTTGCGTGCCCTCTCTTTGCCTAACTCTTTATTCCTGCCTCATGTGACTTAGAGATGGAGGACTGCCCTCCTTACTCATAGTGTGCTCCCTGCCCAAGATCTATAAGGAAAAAAAGTCTTTGGACTTGTTTTCTATTGCAGTGGTGGGTTGAATTTGCACCTTCCACGGGAAGAAGCAGGAGCTGCCCCAGACCAGGATTTCCCTAGGATGTTGGGGAAAACAGAAGGTCAGGTTCCTAGAACCAGAGCCAAAGTCAGGCAGACATAACTGCACACGACTCAGACAAGAGCCAAGGGTGTCTGCCAGAGATAGGTTTCCTATGTGAAGGACCCCTAGTCACATGTCAGACAAACAGGTATCAGGTCATCCACCAGGCACAAGTATCCCAAGAAAGGCCCACTGTAAACACCACGTCCGACACTCTTCATATCTCGTGAGGGGAGGGCTGCCCACCACTCTGGTGCAGGGTTTAGTCAGGGGCTCTCAGAACTACCAGATACCCAGCTGTAAGCAGATTTCCAACCCTCCAAGAGCTGATAGCTCACAGGGGTACCAGAACCCAGATGTGGAATAAGATATCTGGCAGAGAGAACCCCACGTGCAGAGGCTGCTGCCCACTCAGGTTGCCTCAAGCTCGGCCCTTGCCCCCAGCCCTGCACCTTCTCTCTTTGGATGTCACTCTTTATCTGGGAGATCTTGATCTTCAGGGCATCCAGCTCCTCATCTGGCACCAGGGGGATGTTGGGTGCCGCCTCTGACTCGTCCACCATTTGGAAGCTGAGATCCGTGAGTGGAATGTACCATTTGCAGTCGTACTGCTGGGTTTTGCTGGAGGGGAAAAAGAGAATGCTGACACATGTTGACTGTCTATTCCTTAGCTAATGTCACTGCTCTCGAGACCCAGAGAGCCCAAGTCTGTACACTGTGTACTCGTCTTTTTTTTTTTTTTTTTTGAGTTGGAGTCTCACTCTGTCACCCAGACTGGAGTGCAGTAGCACGCTCCCAGCCACTGCAGTCTCGACCTGCTGGGCTCCGGCGATCCTTCTGCCTCAGCCTTCCAAGTAGCTGGAACTACAGGCGGGTACTACCACGCCCAGCTAATTTTTTATTTTATTGTAGAAATGAAGTCTCGCCAAGTTGCCCAGGCGGGTCTTGAACCCGCTGGCTCAGGCAATCCACTCACCTCAGCCTCCCAAAGTGCTGGGATTATAGGCTGAGCCACCGAGCCTGGCCTGTTTACTTGTCTTAAAACCCAATGCGTGCTCCATGCAACAGGCTGAAATGACCCCAGCCTCAGTGACTCCTAGGAACAGGCACTCTGAACACATGACCCCTGGCCCTGAGGCATCTGAGGAGCCTAGATCCATCTTATCCTGCATGGACCCTGGACACGACAGCACACATGGGAGTATGTCAAGGTCACCCAATGACAGGACAGAACTCAAGTCCATGCTCAGAACTCTAGTTTGAGAGGCTGCGGATCTACCTGGAATAATCCCCTCACTTGACAGATGGGGCAACTGAGGCTGTCTTCTGAGCTGAATGATGAAACTCACTTAGCAGGCAGAATGTGGGGAAGAGCCCAGTTCTGGTCCTTCCCAACCCTCTTTTCTCTATTCTAACTTGGTACAATCTGGGTGAACC